ATATTGATTTGAAATCCATTAATCAGACATTTTGTTGCATATGGACTTGGGTTTTGTTCCAAAGACTTTAAGGATGCTTTAGTATGCGACTAAAGCATCCTATAGTACATACATAGTATACATACATAGTAACTTCGACTATGCGTTAGCCTAAAAAGAAATGTCATAACATAAATACAACAATCAGGGATTTTCTTTCATTGTCTTTATCCAAGGGGGGAAAAGCTTACTGCGATCAATCAAAAAAAAATTATACAATTGTCCATTTAGAATTCATAGAAAATGTAAACATTGACCCCAACCTTGTAACGATGGGTTTTGTGCACGCTATCCTGGAAGCAGTCCATGCACAGGACACAAGTGGGATCTATTGCACAATCCCTGAAATGTGAAGAGGATTTGTTATTTAAATGTGTATTATCAGAGGCTGAATGTTGTCATAGTTACTGTCCAAACTGAACTGGATGAAGACCTTTCCTGCATTAACCCATCCTGTTTCTTCAATGTCAACATTTCAAGAGAAAACTTGATGAGCACATGCACTTTACTTTAGTTCTGTTGAGACCGAATGATTGTCATTGGCTTAATGTCATATTTATTATAGTATCAGAGGATATGATTCATAAAATAACAAACAGACTTTAGTCTCATTGTATACTCAGGTACCAGCTTTCAATATCTGTGTGTGCTTATGACAGTTGAGTTTTTTAAAGAAACGCCTAGAAAACTGCACAAAACCTCCTCTTTTTTTAACCTGAGTTATTGTCTCTTGTCATTGTTAAATTGACTTATTACCAGGTATTTTTGTAGTTGAAAGCTATTCGGTGTGTTAAAAGTGTTGCCCTCTGGTTTATACTAAGACATCCAACTTTTTATGACACCTTGATAAGGAAATTGAGGAAGAACTGCCACAAAGAAATGAGTCCACTCACAAACTGCGACATACTGAAACCTGCATCTACTAATTAACTATTTATCTTTAACACTTAGCCTAAATACTGTGAGGTTGCCGTGTGATAAGATCATTGCTGAACTAAAACCTAATGAGGCCAAACTGTTCCTTACAGTTCTATTTAATGATGACAAATAGAGAACCGCAGTGACGCATCCTAAAACCCGGATGTAAACTCCTTCCGGTTCCTTCGTCGAAAAAGCAATGCAATTTCTCCATAGGATTTTGGAAAATAGCTGGAAATAAGGTCTGTGGTTGACATACATTTAAGAGACGGTTCACGTTTTGTTCAGTCGGATAATATCCACATGTCTACCCTACTTTTATAATTTTCTAAGCATAAATCTAGTCGCAAGAAGCAAAATGCTAACGTTATGCTATAAAGGAACTACAGCAGGGTCGCTGCTTCAACGTCACGCCGATTTAAGATCCATATTCAAAAATACAGATTGTAAATGGTACAAGTTGAAGTGTTTGTTTGAACAGTTTGCAGGAGGCAGGTACTTGCTTTCAAGCAGAACAGGGCAAACAAACTTAGCGGGAGTGTTTACGTGTTCGGTGTAATGACGTAAAACGTATTCGACAACTTCTGTGGTCCTATTCAGCCACATGTTAACAACCATCGTTTTTCAGACTCGTAAACTCTTCAAAAATCACCAGCGGGGTCACTGCTGATGTATTTAATGTTGTAGAACAAAACGTGATCTGTCTCTTCAATGTGTGTCAACCACAGACCTTATTTCGAGCTATTTTCCAAAATCCTATGATAAATTGCTTTGCTTTTTGTGGAAGGAACCGGACGTGGTAAAAATGCTAACTTACTTCCGGGTTTTAGGGTCTCCAGGTAGGTTTATTGCTCTCTTTGAACTCCATGGCTTTATACCTCATCTTGTAATCTAGATTCCAATAGGGCTGAGCAATGTGCAAATACTTTTTACTTTTAATTTATTCATCCCTAAAAACAACCAAAACTATAAGATTTGTTGTAGATGTTGACGTCTTCCAGTACTTTTAATTACAAGCTAATTGAATCACAACTACAATTATTGTTGCCATGACAATTTTCTTTTCAATTTGTTTTTCAGATATGTTTTCAGACCTGCAGGAGTAGACAGTCTCTCCCTCTTTAAAAACACGTCCGCAGAGTTGAGAGGAGGTGCTGCCCTGCTTGAGCTTCTCCAGACCCTCCTGAGGATCCTCCCCAAACAGGAAGCACTCCAGAGGGTAGAGGAGTCGGCTCTGCATGAGCTCCTCTTCCTCCTGAGGGGTGGACTCCTTCTTCAGGCAGAAGATCTGTGGCACCTGCTCCTTCAGGTAGCGGAACAGCTCCGCCCTGCTGTCTGCGGCCTCCAGCCATTGCTGCAAGACAACAGAGTTGGGCATGACTTGTTTCACAATGACTCACATCTGTCTCATCACCTGACTCAGAACCACATTTATAAAAGGTACAATTCTCTGATACATTATAACTTTAGCAATATACTATGTTTACTTATCAATTTAAACTTCACTTTTTTTGGATTAAAGTCATGTCATTCAAATTATGGAGATGTAAATGTTTGAAAAAAACACTATAGTAAGTTATTTGTTGACAACTGATGCCATCACGTTGTTTAGAGGTGGGGAAACGTCCACCACAAACAGAATGACATGAAATAGAAAAAGCTTACCTATGAAGACACATGGATCTCCATTAAATGTCTTACCAACTCATTAGTAACTTAAGTTATTACTAGTGAGGTATGAGTCACACTTTTTCTTGATGTCTGCCTAAATACAGAAGCTTTTTTTCACTGACATCTGTATTGACTGGCAGTTGAATAAAAAGCCCCATGAACACAAGGTCGTTTTTACCTTTGGAATTCATATAGATCTATGAAGCAATCATTATTAATATTGCTTGGATCTATATATTCATACATTATTGGGTAGAACAGAATAAAAAAAATAGTGTTGGTTTGTTTTATTTTACAGAAAATATCCAATCAGTGACTTGAATGTGCTCTGTAGTTAAATGAGTGTTTTGAGACCTAAATGAAGTGTGACTGGCAAATACATGGGTAAAACCAGTAGACATTTAACATACTTTTTAGGTAAGCATAAGCTTAAAACATCTAGTAGTTTAATAGGATATAGAGAGTATACAGTATTCACAGCTGAACATGATTTGGGACTGGATACCTTAATATAACCCAACATGTATTGCTCCAATTGTTATTTTTCAAATTTCAAACCCATCCTGTTGGCAGGTAATTGCTGTGTACATTACTGCACCCTGAACGTTGAGGTTCGAGTTGCAGTTAGTCATTTTTATATTTTATATCGTTGGTCCTGCCATGTGTACCTGCCACAAACCATGCCTGTCATTTTGGTGTAATGATTGCTGTAACCTACTCCATCAACTCACCCAAGTGTCGAACTGCTACAATCTTAATAAAATCAGATCCAAAAAGGCCAGTTTTACTGTCACATTGCAAAAATAAACGCATTGTATAAGATTTTATAAAAGGTTGCAAAAGTTTGGGTTTGAAAAACAGTCGGGGCAATGGTGTTTAAAATATATTAACTCATGAAAACTCGTTTGTAGCGCTGTAGCCACAATGCGCCCACCAAAATACCACAGGATGGAGATTAACACACTTATTTACGGATAACACTGCCATATTTTCACTCTCAGTAGTGTGTACTATATAGCACATACCGACCCATAAAACCAATAACTAACACGGGCTGTTGGTGAGCAGTAAATACTGCAGCCTCTGCAGACATTTTTACCATTTTAGGTAGCTAGCACAGTAGCTAACGAATGCTAACCACGCAATTAAATGGCTTTTAAATGCACGGTCAAAGTATTTTGTACAGAGAAACTAGCACATTATACCTCAGTGTGTTGCCCCTGAGCCTCAGTAACCACTGACAGCTATATTAGCTATTTGAATTTCATACCTTGCTGAGCTCCAGTCCGTCTAGGGATTTCTCACCCTCCGCCATATTCCATTTGCCGTAAAGGAGGTGGCGTCACTAGGAGACTCTTCCACTTGTAATCGTAACCTTTTTTGCGACGTTATTCAACAGTAATCACAATAGTCAGAACGATTACGATGTAGGTATTGACTTATAAATAACTGCGATAATCAAATATGGCACTTGTTTGGGACAACTGCCATTTCATTTATATGTGCCTCTGGTAAAAAGAAAAACATTTTGTAAACAAAAAATCCTGCTAGACCTCGCAGCGCCATCTGGTGGTAACAGTTCTCCATGCGTGATTTGACAAATATAATGAGTCCATTCTATAATGTTTTTTTGTCAAATTTTGATATATCATTGACAAAAATGTATTTAACAGAGACATTAGTCCATAAGCCTTCATAATGAATCGTATTTACATTGCTCTATTCCAAACAAAATCCGTCAATGGAGATTTGAATGTAGACGGGAACCAGGCCACTAGAAGGCGCTGGTCGAGATTGTCCCTTCTCTCCGTGGCATGATCTTGAGGTCAGAGTTGAATGTTTGACAGAAAGCTAAATATGGATTCCATATTCACGAGAAAGTAAGTTAAAACATTTAACTTTACTTATCAAGCCACGAATAATTCGTGTCGTTTATTTGGAAAGCTTTGTGCCTTCTAGCGGCGGTTCGTAACCCGGACCTATCTGGCCGGTGTTGAGAGATTTGTGGTGATGTTTGGTAGTATTGTTGTCCAGACAGCTAACATGCTAACTGCACCTGCTAATCATAGATTATGAAAAGTTTCTCTTCAGCTAGGAGTAACGACGCTAAACGCTTCCTAATAGCTACAAGCATGTTCTTTTTTTTGTCCAGTTAGTAAACGAACTGGCTAAATTGGCTATCTCGTCTTTTAAAGTAGTGTTAAAAGTAGTTATGTTAGTTTACGTATGCTATATGTAGCCTGTAAGGCTGTTTCCGTGGCGACAAGGCAAATGAAAAAGATGTTACTATTAACGTTAGCTAATTCAGTGTGTATATAACAAAATAATGCTCTGGTCTCTCATCAATAACTAATCTTTATTTGTAGCAAGAGGGTTCTCTTTGCGCCCAACACTGTCTGAACAACCTCCTGCAGGGTGAGTATTTCACTCCTGTGGATCTGTCCTCCATCGCTCACCAGCTTGATGAAGAGGAGAGGATGAGGATGGCGGAGGGAGGTATGGCCAGTGAGGAGTATAGGACCTTCTTGCAGGTGAGGAGACATTAGATGTGAATGCTAATGCAGCAGCTGCTATTACAAACATGTTCCAAATTTATTTTCTATGAATGTGTTTCTAGCAACCATCTGGCAACATGGATGACAGCGGATTCTTTTCAATTCAAGTGAGGGATTCACTCATCTCAATAGTTGTTTATTCACAAATCAATAACTGTATAAATCAGTAATGTAATTTCCCTGCTCTGTTATATATTTCCTCGTAGGTAATTAGCAATGCACTGAGAGTCTGGGGCTTGGAGCTAATCCTGTTCAACAGCCGGGAGTACCAGAGCCTGATGATCAATCCTATGTAAGTATTTATTATGTATTTTCCTTATCTGTAATCTCATAGCTTCTTCACAGTGTACATTGATTGTGACAGCTATTACGCTCATTTTTTCAGAAATGAGAAGGCCTTCATTTGCAACTACAAGGAGCACTGGTTTACTATACGCAAACTAGGACAACAGGTATGAGGCAATTGTCATCATAACCAATGTTGACACAGCCTGATTTACACCAAAAAAAACACCGTTTTGTTTTCATTGCAGTGGTTTAACCTGAATTCACTGCTGACTGGACCAGAGTTGATATCAGACACCTATCTAGCCCTTTTCCTTGCTCAGTTACAACTAGAAGGTATTGTAAAATTAAATTTGTAATGCCATGATTGTTGTTTCTTTTGCTGTGCAGAAATAATTTTAAAGTTGAATTTGGACAGGTTATTCCATATTTGTGATCCGTGGAAACCTCCCTGAGTGTGAAGCAGAGCAGATTTTAGGGATCATGAGGGTGCATCAGCAGCAGCGACCAAAGCTTATCGGAGAGGATGAAGCCCAGACCAGTGCTGGGTAAGTACTATATTTGCTGACAGTACAAACAGAACAGAATTATCTTCCTTTATGTATTAAGCTGCTAAAAGCTATATCTAACTTATCTGTACTTGCGCTCTGAGCAGCAGGTCGGCAGCTCAGAGCCAGGCGGATATGACCTTTGCTGTGGAGGACGAGGTTGTAGATGAAGACGAAGAGCTGAAGAAAGCTCTGGCACTCAGCAGACAGGACATAGATGTGGAAGATGAAGAAGCTGATCTCCGCAGAGCCATACAGCTCAGCATGCAAGGTACATTATGGGTTATCCAACGTTTTTAAATATGATTTAGGTTAGGGATTTCAACAAAAACGTTGATTTAATAAATCTACAATTCTTGATACACTGCACTTTTATTTAAACTTCTACTAAAGATCATATCAACAAGTATTTTTGTTTTCATTGTTAATTTCACAAGTTGTGCTCCAGGTTTGCAATAATAGAATAGTTTAAAGCAAAACGGTATTCTTTGTTTATTAATAATATTATAGGAGCAGTGATGAGCAACAAGTCCTCTGAGTCTGAAATGGCAAACATGAAATTGGCAAGCCAGGCAGCAGGGAGTTCTACCGGAGGACAGAGAGCCGGCCAGAATGAGGCGCTCACAGCTGAAGAACTGCGGAAGAGGAGACAAGCCTATTTTGATCGGTAGGTTTGGCTCGACACAATAAATAATAAACTCTTGAATTCTATTAAATAGTCCTGCAATTAACACTACTTTTTATAATTGATGTTGTAACTGTGTCTTCATTATAACTTTATTAATTTATAGTTAGAACCGATTGAAGTATTCATGATATTGTGTCCTCCCCTCTTAAATTAATGTAAACTGAATTCATGGATGTTTCTAAAAATTCTCTCTGTTCATTTCTTAGGCAGCAGCAACAAGCTCAGTCCAACATTCCTCAGCAACCGGACCAAAATCATCAGGTGGCTCAGGTAGTGACATCTGACTTATGTTAACTAACTGTATAATACAAGCCTATCCAGGTAACCCATGAAATATACTTAACTAAGCTCTCTCCCCTCTTCTAGGATCAGTGAACCCTGGCTCTGAAGAAGACCAACAACAAAAGCCCAGCCAGTGAAAGCGTGCACGGTTTGCCTATGTTGTTTACCAGCTGCCAGGATTGGCAACCCCGTACAGGGGAAGCTTTGCTCCTTCCTCTAACCTTCTGCACATGCGAACATAAGGACAGTCAGAAGGCTGACGCGTTTCCCCTGGTTAGTTCGCTGACAGGCAATAGAGAAGAGAACAACGATGAGGAAAAGGCAGCAGTTAGTCTAATCTAACTCAGCAAGACACTGACGCTGGGAAAAAGGGTGACCACAGAACCCACGATGCAGTTAATCCAAGTTTGCATTTGCCTTTTTGCCATGGCGCCTTCTAGTTCTATTGTACACTGTTTTTTTATTCTTGTTTTTTTCCCCACAAAAGATGAAAAGGAATCTTCAGCATACAAATGGTGTGTTTATCTATTTAGAGGGAATACTTATGGAGATGGTTGTCCGGTGAAAGCCAATAGGAAACCAAACACACCGATAAGATGTTTGATAGATAATGACCCCTACTTTAACATTGGACTTGTGTTTGTAGGACATAGGATGTATTTCCAACTCCTGCCCCACCCAAACAACAATTTAGCTCTGAAATCACTTCTAGTAGTGAAATATATTTTAGCAATCAGCACTAACATGTGTGGGTCTTTTTGTTCCTTCCTAATCTTTACTTGTGAACGTCTAAGAGTAGTATCCCAAGGTATTCCAACAACAACAACATATAACTGATGTTGTGGCTTTGTTATTACCCATAAGTGTATAAGTAGGCATAATGAAATCTAAGATTACACAGCTTTTCCATTTAGGATGGACAGTGCACAAAATAACTATAGAGCTATTTGCTGGATCTAAGATGCTTTTGACTGATGCATATTTTTCACGTCTTGTCCAGAATAAGTTGGCCTGGAACAAAAGATTAATCTGTTAACACCATTAAACTACAGCTGCTAAATAAAAGTAACATTTTCCAGCAAGTATGATCACCTACAAAACGAAAGAAAGTTTGACACGTCCAGTCTAATAAGTTTAGGACTGCCTCAGTCGTTTCTCCTATTTGTCATAGGGAATTTAATTTTGTTTTGGGAATTTAAAGAAAATCTTTTTGATGTACCTTCACAAGTGGTTGATAGTTTAACACCTGTAATTTAGTTTTAAAAGCACTGCTTAGACTTATCCTCTAGTCCAATAATGCACTGAGGTGCCATGGGTTAAATCTAACTATTTTCCAATCGATGACCTTTAAAAATAACAGTAAAATAGTGAGAGGGGGAGGGACATATTTTGATCATTTAAAACCCAAAGATAGAACAAAACGTCAGTGTATTTACTTTAGAGTTTGTTGTATTTTTGTTGATACAACAATCTCTTCTTGATTTTTTTTTTTTAAATCAAAATGATGTTGATTGAGCACATACTGTAACTGCATTAGAAATGTTTGTTGACAGTTATTTAGTTTGCTGGAACCAATGACAGCATGGGTATACCTTGGTTCCTCCACAAAAGTATATCTCATACGAAGTCTACTTTTTGTAATGGATGACAACCAAGGAAAATCCATGATGTCCTTATTGTTTTCCTTTGGATCTTTTAGGCCTTTTTTTCTATTTCAATGACTCTTGCGAAAGTGCATGCATTGTTGGTTATTGGGTTTTTATCATTGCATTGTTTTTACTCCCTACATTCTCACAATAAGTACTCTTACAAATCTGTTTTGTTATATTTCACTTGTTACCATAGCACATTCTTTGATTTAATGTGTTGGGTCGTGTTCCAGGATTAAAGTGACATTCACTCCTGAAGTTTCTCATGTCTCTGTTTTTCCAACTCAACAACATGCAGTTATTGATGGGTTATTTGTGGGACTTTTCACTCCTGAAAAAGAGGCCTTGAATATTTGAGCTCTGACTCCATTTGGAAAACACAACAGGCGATGCGTCAGGGTTAATATGTAACGCTGAGAGCACACTTGCACTTTGTTTCCCCAAATAATACATGGAGCTATCAGAAGTAAACTTGCACAAGCTGAATGGTACGTACAACAATTTTGGAAACCAGCTATCTATTGCATTTAAAACCTGAATTCATTCAATTTCTTTAGGTGGGAATTTAAATGGGAAAGAATTGTGATGGATGAGATCTAATGTGTTATAATTTCTGGTAGATGGGTTAGATATTGTCTTAGTGTATTGTGTTATTGTCAAATAGGCTCTTTTCACAGCGGACAATTTGGCTTGTCACTAGGAAATACAAAGGTGTAGATGATGAAAATATTATTTTTCTTTAGCTGCTTTGACTTTAGGTTTGGCATCATGGACGCTGGCTCACTAGAACAGAGCCATCGTTAGTGTTATTTGTAACACCCACGCTTTTTCTACTGATTCAATTCAAAAGGTCTGCTGTGAGAAAGGCCTGTTGTATTTTTTGTACTATCTTCTGACATTACATGTCTGCATGTTTCAGGTTGTGCAACCAAATCCCTCAAAAATATGTTGGTACACAAATTGAAAATGGAACTTATTTTCATTGTCACCTTGATGTGCTTCCTCGCTCCTGTCCAACAAGCGCACATGCCAGGTGCCACCATCTCGGATCTTTCCTTCAAAAATATGGACTTTGCCATGAACCTATACAGAAAGATATCCAGCTACCATGACAAGAACATATTTTTCTCACCTTTGAGCATCTCCACCAGCTTTGCTGCTCTCTTGATGGCTTCTGATGGAGTTACACACCAAGAAATACTGAAGGGACTCAATCTGGAGCAGCTGGAGCGGGCTGACCAGCCTCAGCTTATCCCAACACTCTTCAAACTCCTCCATGAGAACATCACACAGAATGGATCCCTGAAACTCGACCAAGGCATGGCTCTCTTTACGTGCCAGCAGTTTGTGGTGGAGAAGGCATTTGAAGACCAAATCAAGACGTTTTTTGACGCTGATATTAAAAGTGTAGACTTTGCTAACACAACGGAGAGTATCAACTTCATCAATGAGTATATCAAGCAAAAGACTCAGAACAAAGTGACAGACATGATTTCCTCCCTGGATGCACTGACCCAGGTCATGTTGATTGACACAATTTTCTTCCAGGGTAAGTTGAAACAATCTCTTAAGAGTTGGATCTACATCTTGGTTCATTATTAGCTGTGCTTTCACTACTTTTGTATGTCTTTCACCTATTGTATTCACAACTAAATAACTATAATTTCCTCTACAGGAGGCTGGCAGAAGCCTTTCAATTCCAATTACACAACAAAGGCACCATTCTACATTGACAACTATAATATTGTGCAAGTGCCGATGATGTTTTTAGAGGATAAGTTCTATACAATGGAAGATGCTTCTCTCGGTGCCAGAGTCCTGAAGTTGCCGTACCTGGAAGGTTTTTCCATGCTTATTCTTCTCCCAAACAAACGCACCGACTACACTGTGATTGATGATGGGATCACTGCTGAGAGGTTTCTCAGTTGGATCAAAAAGCTGCAAAAAAAGTAAATGCATAGAAAGTCATTATGTGGAAACGTTTGAAACACCTGTAAGCTATTTTATTATCTGTATTCTGTTGTATTTCAGCTATCATTGCCAAAGACTTTGTGATCTTTTTTTCCAGAAAAAAGTGCAAGTACACAGTATCATAAAACAACAGTCCACTAAACTGGCTGGTAATTTTTTTTTTCTTTCAGCAAACTTGAAATCAACTTGCCCAAATTCAAGATGGAGGAGTCGTATTCCCTGCACAATCTCTTACCAGACATGGGCATGTCCAGTATTTTCAGTAATTCAGCCAATTTGACAAAGCTGAGTAATCAAGATGGCCTCAAAGTGTCAGAGGTTAGTTTTCCATGATGTAAGAAAATGTTTGCATATTCCAACACCTGCAGTTGAAACATTTTTTTTAATCTCTATTGTAAAATCACAGGTGCTGCACAAGGCTGTGATCGAGGTGGACGAGACAGGCACCACTGCAGCAGCTGCCACAACCTCTGGCATTATTCCATATTCCTTACCCCGGACCTTCACTATAAACAGACCATTTTTCTTCTTCATATACCATGAAGACACAAACTGTCTGCTGTTTATGGGCAGGGTGATTGACCCTACCAAAAACTAGCAGTCATGACGGTTTGAGTCTTGGAGTGCAGGCACATATTTTGTTTATAAATGGTTTTAAAAGACTCTTTTGATGCCTTTTTTCAAACTTGAATTAAAAATGCTTATTCTGGTCTGTGAGCCAACTGAAATGTGATACATATTAATAAAAATAATAAAATACATTGGTGTGCTTTTTTTAAATGTTGGAAACCTCAAGAGTTTAGGAGCAGGGACCTACCCCTTCACCAGGACCTTTAAGTTCTGTAAACGGCACCAACCTTGTGCATAACAAGTGAAAAGATGATGGATATAATAATGCATTTTTTGATGGGTCACAAGCAAGATTATTTTCATAACCTGGCATTAAGAAGGTGCTCTTGTTTATACAAATATAACTGATGAGCTGTTTTATTTTTGGTGCCTTTATGTATGTTTTAATGTAAATGTTAAACTTTTCCTAGTATGCTATAAACCAGGGGTGCCCAACCTTTTTTGAATCGAGAACTACTTTTAAAGTTACCAGTCTGCCGAGATCTACCAGTCCAAATAGAGAGGCGTAGCCATTACTGACAGCCTACTACCAGGTAAATACACACTTCTACTTGTATAAAACTGACCTTTGTACGATTAATACTTCATAAAATACTGCGATCCTTTATTTTACCTCTTTCTAATCTACACACATACAAGTATTTAAATTTTAACTGAAGTTACACAACAGTGTTGTTGATACAGAGCTGATATTCTGTACAAACTGTGAAGTCCACTGAGACAAATGTAACATTTGTGATATTGGGCTATATAAATAAACATTGATTGATTGAGTTGGAGTGTATTCACACGTCACATACTACAGTGGGTAATGTTTTCAAGAAACATTGAACAGTGCTGCCACATATGACACAGGAAAAAAAGAAAATACACTGAACCCTTTCTTTGCCATTATATACAAAGTGTTGCTACAAAAGTATAAATTAGGCTTACTAATAAGACAACTTAGATCTGAAGCTACACAGGAATCTGCTGCCAAAGTGCAATAAAAAAGACAAAATTAATAGAATCAAACCCTTTTTTTGTTGCATTTTAGTAGAGTATAAAAATAAATGCCTTTAAAATAGGATGCAAGCAACACTAGTTTCTTAACCTGAATTGATAATAGACTATAATCAATTTAAGTTTGCATTCTTATACCATTTTGTACAATAATTATAATGAATAAGTTCAAACAAACTAAAACTTACAGCTGATTAATAACGGTATCTAACTTGAGTTTTTATTATATCAAAAACCTGTTGAAATGCTACTGTTATTTTTACTGTCCCCAAAAAGCGCGTCAGCAGCCTCCATGAATGCTTCTTTCACAACTTCGCCGTCTTTGAAAGACTTCATGTGTTTCGCAAGAACGTGACTAACACGATAAGATGCTATGGTAGCAGCCTTGCTCTTGTTGTTGGGCCTGGTGGAAATGGACTGCTGTGCATTTAGCTGTCCTTTCAGGCCCCTCCCCTTTTGGAGCGTAGGGCAGAATTAGGAGGGAATTCCGTATCGCAGCGTTTGTGCACTGTTTTGAAATGCCGCTCCTAAATTACCCTTCTTCGATAAAGCCACGCTCGCATTGCAGATGAGACAGATGGACTTTGAATTGGAATAGATAAAACAATAATCATCCTTCCGCTCGGAGTGAAAATTATATATTTTGGGCTTTTTTGCTTCTACTCCTGTTGACACGGACAACGTCAGCGAAATAGTGCCCACTCACGCGGGCCAATCACAACGCTTTGATGCATTCAAGTGCATTATTCTGGTACAGGAAGTTTATGTTATAGGACATTCATTTCTATTTTTAGACACATCTCGCGATCGACTGGGAATCTCCCCGCGATGGGCACCCCTGCTATAAGCAGAGGTTGGAAGTAACTATAATTAAAACATATGTATTATTCTGGAATGGGCCAATCTGCATAATGAGTACTTTTACTTTTGGTACTTTAAGTATATTTTGATCCTAATACATATATATATATATATATATACATACACACATTTTGAATGCAGGACTTTTACTTGTAACAGAGTATGCCTACAATCTGGTACTTCTAATAAACTGTGACACGGATCACAGTCTAAGTCCCGCCCATCTACTTCCGACCCATGGGACCTTATTTCGGAAAAATTATGTATTGAAGTCAATGGAGAGAGAAAACTTATCTTTCGATTTGTAGTCTTTCTAGTTGCGTATTTTTCATAGTCTTATATTTCAACAGTTCTATGACAAACTGTGACTTTTTTGACATGGAAATGATTTTTTAAGATTGACAAACATCATATGTGTAATTCATGGCACAATTCAAACGGGATCGAAAGATACGTTTTCTCTCTCCATTGACTTCAATACATAATACATAATTTTTCCATGGACCGGAAGTAGATGGGCGTGACTTCTCCTCTGTTGGAAATAAATCTTTGTTTTCTTTTTTCGACAAATAAAGTTTTTTCAAACCACGTGATCAAGACTGTCATGGCTGCGCCCTCGTGTAATGCGTGGTTGTAAACATTCGTGAACATATTTTGGCATTAAGAAGTCGCCAGAGTCATCAAGGTATTGTTTTTTTAAATTATTGTACGAATATTTAGTTGTTGCGTTTGTTGTTTGGGTTATGCCAAGTCAGTTGGGTCTGATATTTTTGCGAGCATTTCATATATAGTTG